GTGTCAGAACTGGAACAATAGTCAAGAATAAATGACGTAATAGTGACAGGACTTGAAACAACACACCAAACTTATGCAAGAGCAACAGCTACAGAGAATGGAGAACCACCTGAACAAGAATTAAACTACTTAGAAAGGCAGGTAATGGACTTCCTTGTTAGCAAAGGGATACAGCTGGAGGCCAAGGACATAGAGGGATATCATCCTCTTCCACGTAAAAATAACAATCAGAAACCTGCAATCCTTATCAGATTTATGAACAGAAAACACAAGAAAGAACTGCTTAAACAAGGAAGGAAGCTGAAGGGAACCAATGTATGTAAATGAACACCTAATCAAGAAAAATGCAGACATTGCAAGGCCAGCGAGACTTCTGAGTAAATGAAAGAAAATACAGTCAACATGGACTTCAAACTGTAAGGTATTCATTAAACTGAATGGGTCTCCGGAGCAGGCAAAGATTCTGATCATTAAGGAACTAACAGAACTAGAAAAATACAAGTGATAAATGAGTATATAAAACAAGTTTACAAACTATGATTAAGATCATCAGAATTTATGCTTCCAAACTTATTTTGGATACTGTAAAAACAGCATGGATAACTCGGTTTAATATTGGTCATGATTCAAACAGGCAAAAATCACTCAACTGAAATGGATACAGATGATAAAATATATGATACTGACAATAAAACAGATGGAAATTTATTTGAATTCAACATAAGTTGTGATTATATTGGAGAAGAACAATTGAACTGTGGGAGAATGACTAAGGACACAATGTCACTTATCCACATTAATAGTAGAAGCTTATTTCCTAAGTTATTAATTATCAAAGATTATTAAAATAAATTCAAAAACAAATTTATTGTGATTGCTTTAACAGAGACTTGGCTCAAAGATGACATGATGGATGAAGTGCAAATAGAAGGGTATGAACTTTATTTTGTAAATAGAAAAAATAAAAGAGGTGGTGGGGTTGCCCTGTGCATTAAATCAGATCTAAAATGTAAACTAGTTAAGGAAATGACAATGATGGAAGATAATGTTATGGAAACTGTAACGGTAGAAATCAGCAATGAAGCTGCTAAAAATACTTTAATTAGTTGTGTTTATAGAGCACCAGGATCATGTATTGGGACATTTAATGAAAACATTATTGAATTGGTTGGTCACATTAAATACAAAACATTATTTCTATTTGGGGACTTTACTATTAATTTAGAACATGAGGCTGGACAGATAACTAAGGATTTTGCAGATTCACTGTATAGTGTAGGTTTATTTCCCTTGATAAACAAGCCAACTAGAATTACATCTCAGACTGCAGCAATCATTGATAATATATTCACTAACAATAAGGATGATGTGAGGAAAACAGGGATATTAATGACTTATATTAGTGACCACCTACCTGTTTTCACAGTCTTCAAATACAAACATTCCATAAAACAAAACATCACCATGAACTACAGAAGAGAGAAATCAGTTAAAGCCATGGGGGCATTAACCAAAGATCTTAATAAACAAAATTGGAAGGAGGTATACATCAGTGATGTCAAGGGCTGCATACACATCCTTCATGAGAATACTGTTGAAGTCATATAATGATAACTGCAAATTTATCAAATCTACAGGTAAAAGGGAAAATCAGCCTTGGATGACTAAGGGATTAAAGAATGTGTGTGCAAAAAATCAATAATTTCTGTAGGAGATTTTTTTTTCATTTGCAAACAAAGAAAGCAGAAGATAGATATAAAAAATATAAAAATAAATTGGTAACAATAATTAGGAAGCAAAAAAAGACTATTATGGTAATCCATTGAATCAGAATAGAAATAACACAAAAGCTATTTGGGGAATACTAGACAGTGTGACAAATAGAGAGAAAACAAAATCCCGTATTCCAAAACACTTTGTCAAGGACAAAAAAGATATTTACGATGATAAAGAAATCACTGATGAGTTTAATGATTTTTTTTGTAAATGTAGGTAGGAGTTTGATGGAAAACAAACCAATAATAGAAGATAAATTGACCACAATGATTAGTACTGTCAATAGTATTGTCCTTGACAAAGTAGATAAAGAAGAAATACGAAACATTGTAAAAAAAACTGTGAAAAAAACTGATCAACCGTTTATCGGGACCTGGACATGATAGCTGTTAAAACCATCATAGAATCTGTCATTGAACCATTCACTTACATTTGTAATCTATCACTTTCTACTGGAAATTTTCCTGACGCAATGAAAACAGCGAAAGTCATTCCTTTGTATAAGAGTGGTGGTAAAAATAGTTTCAATAAGTACAGGCCGGTGTCGCTGCTTCCACAGTTTTCTAAAATATTGGAAAAAGTATTTGTATCAAGGTTGGATAAATTCATCGAAAAAATTATATTTTAAACAATGAACAATATGGGTTTAGAACTAAACATTCCACAGCAATGGCAATAATGTAATTAACGGATAAAATATCAACGGCAATTGACAATAAAATGACTTTGTTAGTGTTTTCATTGATTTGAAAAAAGCATTTGACATCATTGATCACTCAAGGTTACTTCGAAAATTAAGTCAGTATGGAATAAGAGGTGTGGCTCATCAATGGGTTAAAACTTTTTTAGAAAAAAGCAAACCGTTTGTTCAGATAAAAGACCATAAATTATGCGAAATTCATTGTGGAGTGCCACAAGGGTCGGTCCTCGGACCAAAACTGTTCATTTTGTTTATTAACGACTTGGTAAATGTATCTAAGACACTCGGTACCATTCTATTTGCAGATGATACAACACTGTTTTACTCAGGATTAAATATTGAGGAGGTGGCTAAAGTGATAAATGATGAACTGATTACAATTAAAAACTGGTTTGATATAAATAGATTGACACTGAATCTTAATAAAACAAATTTTAAACTGTTTAATGATAAAAAGAACAGTGATGTGTCATTGGAAATAGATGGGATTGCATTTCAAAGAGTAAAATAAACTAAATTTCTTGGATTTCCTATTGATGAAGACTTGACATGGAAATCCCATAATAGTTACATAAAAGGTAAAATTGCCAAATCCTTAGGAGTATTACACAGACTCAAGTTTTTACTGACTAATTCTGGTTTGTTGGCATTGTACAATTCACTGATTGTTCCATACTTGACTTATTGTGTAGAAATATGGGGAGCAACATACAAAAACTATACACAACCCTTATTTATTTTACAGAAAAGAGCTCTGAGAATCATCAATTATAGTGGCTGTAGAGATCCATCGAACCTGTTGTTTATTAAATATAAATTACTGAAATTTCATGATTTAAAAGACTGGAAAAATCTTACAAACCATGTATAAAGCCAATGTAAGTACTCTGCCAACAAACATTCAGGGTATATTTGAAAAGAGAACTAGCAATTACATGCTGAAAGAAACTGATGTGTTTACAAAACCTAGATTTAGAACTAAAATTAAAGAATGGAATATATCTGTAAATTCTGTTAAATTATGGAAGAACCTTAAAATGGAAATTTAAAAACTCTGTAATTTATTATACTAAAAAAATGTACTAAATTGAGTGTACCAAAAAAATATGAAAATGTAAATTAAATCAATGATCATGATCGCACTGGAATTTAGAACAGGAAAAAGTTTAAAATGAATCTGTATGTGTCATGGGTGGTTCTGTAGGTTGAGTGCTTTGCAGTCATGTTTCTGGTTTTATTGTATTTCTGGTACTTCCTGTTTTATTTTGTGTATTCACTTCCTGTCTCATTACAGGCAGCTTCACGACCTGAAGCTCCTCACTAATCAGCCTTATGTCTTGCACCTGTGTCCTGGCTTCTCCATTTATGCTTCTTTGCAAACAGATTCCTTAGCCAGTTTGTCTTCTTCAGTTGAGTAAAGTGAACCTGCTCTCAGTAACACTTTGTGAGAGTGTATTTAGATAGTTTTGGACTTGTTCAGTTGTGCTGTTGCCAGGAATCCTTTCAGCTTATTTAACTGTGTGAGCTCTGCACTTGAGTCCACTTTTGTGCTTTGATAGTATGTGTGTCTGACAAATGGAAATTGTATATAAATTGATTATTTCTTCTGGAAAAGGGGGCAGAAATTATAAGATGTTTTTCTTCGTTCTGCTCCTTTTCGTTCAAATTTGATTTTTTTGTTATGTATTTCTTATTGTTTATATGTTTTATTTGTTTTTATTTTGAATGAAAGAAAAAAGGGGAAAAAACACCTTTAAAACCACCCTGTATCACATCATTTACTCATTTATTCTGCCATAGATTATTCACAACTGTAAATAACTAGGCTTGTATGTCTGGTTATGAGTAAATGTCAAATTATGATTACACCCGCCCACGCCACTGAGGGGTTTTGGTCAACCAAACCTGATTATCATTTTCCGAGTTATTATAAATTTCATATTGATAGCCAGAAGACACTGAAGCCATCTTGTCCACTAAAAAAGTTCATTTTGATGATTTTAATTGCTCCACAGGGATGAGGTCCTGCCCCAAGTGGAGGAGTTTAAGTATTTCTGGGTCATACCAAGGCTAAAAATGAGACCCAATACATCACCACGGCAGCAGGTCAAATGCAGAGATGAATTTCACCACTATGTGATGACTAATGGGACATTGTCTTCACAGAAAACTATGGAAATAAAAAACTTTGTTTTTAATGGTGAGCAGCAGAAACATAATCTGATCATTTCTTTACTTGTTAATTGTATAATGTTTATTGTGTTTTACGTAGATAAATAAGATTAATTTATGGTTTGAGTAAACATTAATATGGTTTACTAACACTGCTTTCCAAGGGCGGTCAGCAATTTTCTAGGCCCCTTGAGGGTGCTATTGCCTTTCTTGTGGACAAGTAAGTCTTTAGAATATATGAAAGTACAACATAACGTGAGCATAATAATTGTAAAACAGTGTGTTTAGCTCGGTTTTGTTGGCTTGAGGAGCACATTCAAGAATGAGAGGCATTGCTTTCGGCTGTAAATACAGAAATGTCTTGGTGTGATACGCTTGTCGGCCACTAGATGGTGCCACGAGATAAAAGTAATCCAGTCATCTACTTTAATGCTGCTTTGTTACACATTTTGTGTAAAGTCTTCCAACCAGACCTTGGGAAAATGGTTCCACACACTTTAAGATCAACTATTGTCTAATAAGAGGAGCTGAAATTTTGAGCCAAAAGTTATTATGAACAAAAATATCAAACTTTGCAGCAACACAGTTTAGATGACTCTGTGACCAATTTCAAGAAGCTGTGCTTTTGTCAGTGATTCAGTCTAGCTGCTGATAATGAAAATGTCAACCAATCTTAATGAAAAACTCAGATAGTAAATGTTTTATTTTTCCTTTCTCAAATGAGAAGTAAATGTGCGTTTGTTTGTTTCTGGACAAACATGAGATTATAAATAAGGAGCAAGAGCCTGGCTTGTGCCACATGTACTGCTAAACTCCATACTGCTGTATAAAAAGGTCTCCAACTACTCTGCCTCAGCCAGAGCTTTATGTCTGAGATGTTTCTCCAGGCAGAAGACAGCAATGGGATCTGTGGCTGTGTCAAACTTGTTGGCAAAGAAATGGTGGTTTTGAAGAAGCCACTGCAGGTCTCCAGCTCCATACACACATATTGACCTGACATGGTTGCCTTGACACTCGGGGTACACCGCTGACTCTGAATCCTGTGACCCCTCATGCCACGCCCACTTCACCAGCCGTGCAAATGCGTTGACATCTGTCTGGTCGTATTTACGGCTGGGCCACTTTGAGCCAGGAACACCAGGGATCCGCTGAATGGTTGCCCAGATGAGCTCATCTGGACTGTAGGTATCTTTAAACCAGTTAGTAAGATCCTTTATTTTGGAGTCTTTCAGCACGCTGCCAACATAACCTCGAGTAACCACGATGTAGGCACTTCCTGACTTGATGGGCAGGTTGAAGGGAGGTGGTTTCTTTAATTCTTTCGTCGTCTGAAACATTAAATTAAAAATATTGTGATGAATATTAAGCACAATCTGTTTTATTAAGTAATTAATCTGTCTAGATGCTGCAAAAGTACCTTGATTTTCCCATCAGTAATATTGTGAACGTAATGTATCCTCCATCTTTTTTCTGCAGGCAGGCTCTCTGACTCCAGGCTGTTGCTGCCCTTCAGTGACTGCAGCATTCGAACCATCTCCAAGTTGGTTTTCAGAGGGAAGTCCTGGCCACAGAGGTTGATGAAGTATTTCCATTTGGTACTGGCGTTGTAGAGGTCAGCCATACAGTTCAGATCAGCTTGGACACGAGACCAGCCAGCGTACACAACACTGACCGCCTCGCTGACCATGAAGACGTTGGGGAAACAGGAAGTGATGGCCAGGATGGCGGATGTTACAGAAGGGGCAGATTTTTTGTCCACGTGGACACAATAAATATTCTGAGGTGCATAGATGGCCCGCAGTAGACGTTCAAAGTTCTGCACCTAAAGTTTGTGGAAAGAAGAGAATTGAGTTTCTGTGTTTTTATGTTCATTTGTTCATCTTCACTTGCTTATCGGAGTTGTGATGTAAACACCTCCAGTAGAGATGCCCAAACTTCCCTTTCCCCATCAACCTCCACCAGCAGGAAACTAGGGGTTGTATGAACTAGTCGACTAGTCGACTTCACTGCTCTGTAGTGACTTTTTATGCCTTTCAACGACTAGTCGCTGTCACGTGATAATGAGCGACAAGATGCAGTCCTCGGAAAAGACAGCAGGTGACGAGCCCCTGCGCATCGGGAGGCAACGCGCTGTACCAGAGCGTCTGTACTGACGTCCGCCGTAAAACGGACATTTAACCAAATTGTGATGTTTACCCTCTTGCAATTTAACCTTCCCCTCACCCCCCATTCTTCTTCCGGCACTCGCAGAGTACAGACGCTTCTGCTTTTGCTCCCTTATCTTTTTTCCCAAGGCTCTTTGTCCTGTCTGCCCACAGAGCGCTTCTCTGCATTTCTTCTGGAAATCCCTATTTTTTAGAAATGGATTTAATTAATTGGTCATTCAATGTGATTGATAAGATTTTTTCTGCAATGAGAACGGAGGAGGGGGCTCCCACTTGCCCGCAAGGGACACACGCAGCGGGATATATGCTCGATTCCTGGGAGGTGTGGAGGATCGTATGTCTCTCTCAGCTGTCCATTGAGGATGTCAAAGATAAGTGTATATTTGGCCTTATGATCACTGGATTTCTACTGATTGGAGTGAGAGGATATCTGGTTTTCTGGAAATTTGGGAAGACGGGAGCGATTTGAGGGCGACCCGCACCCACGGGAAGCACCGCCTGGGCGGAGACCTCACAGACTGGGACGTTACTCGAGGTGAATCGTAAGCTGGACAATGTCCTAGCTGCGTTACCGGTGTTAGTGCGCAAAATGTATGTCATCTCGGAGAGGGTCACCGGACGGTGTGGAGATAAAACCTAAATTGGCTTCACTGAAGGACTGGAATGACCAGTTACAGACTGAAGACAGAGAGGAAAAATTATCTCTGCCTGACCCAAACAAATTCTTGCTATCCAAAACTGACGCCAAGGCAGCCTTCAAGATGCCAACAACCCCCACGAAGGAAGGAATGCAGACAGATGCTGTGGAAAAAACCCGACCTACAGGCAGAGAGTCTGGGAGCTAAAAAGAAGCCCAACCCAGATCTTCGCCTCAGAGATCCCAGCCCCTCTTGACTTGGGTTCCAGAGCCAGCACTAAGTGCTGAGGTGAGTTCAACTATATCTAGCTGGAGTTCTTTAAAACGTATTGTTTTGTGTTTAAAATTATATTACTTTTTACCCACGTTTAGAGGGGAATCTTTAAAGTGAACCCAAGTGAGTTCGACTGTCATCAGTTTACTGTAACTCCAAGAACTGCTGCTTTAAATCTGTAGAAAAGCCTTTTTTCAGATTTTCATGATCTTCTCACGGATGCACAGGTCATTAGACACTATTTAAACATTATGTAGTTTTCTGATACAGCAAGTGGTGAATACAATTTTTAAGACTTTAAACTTTGACAGCTTAGAATTTGCTTACTTTGTGATGAACCACCATGGAATAAGCCAAAGGAAAGTCTTCCTCCTCTTTGCTCAGTGGAAATGTTAAGTATTTCCTCCTTAATTTGAAGTTCCTGTAAGAACGATGCTTGTTAGTATAAATGTAGCTCAAATCTGAACAGAAATAAGTTGATCAACACACCTGCAGTCCCGGGTTTCATTAATATAAAACTCATCTGGGATTTGAATCCTCTTGCGGAACGTTTTGGTTAAAGTCAACAGTTTGGCCTGCTCCAGAGACTCCTGGTCTCTTTGCAGGATTCCTGAACAGTTGCACACTTTCTCTGGGCCTCCATCATCGTCTGTATACTCCAGCCAGCTGTGACTGCGGGTGAATCCAGAGACCTTGTCTGTGTCCAGATGACTGGCTAGGTAAAGCATCCACAGAGATCCCAGTCCAATGGAGAGCTTCAGGAACAGTAGCCGGCTTCCTCGTTTCAGCAACCGCATTATTGCATCACTATGATCTCTGCACAAACCAGCGCTTTTTATCCACTTTAAAAGATCTTTGCTTAGATATTCCACAGTAATTTACCTGCAAACAAAACAAAACAAAAACATTTGCACTTTAAAACCAAATGTACTTAAATTATGAGCACAAGATTTTTAAACTTCACACGAGGATCTTTAGCCAGATGAACCAACCTGGCCTCTTGCACCTGCATGCTAGATGTTTTTCCTTCTGGTTTAATCAGCCAGTTTCCTCATTTTATCTTTTGTAAATTTACATGTTGTTTGAAACTGTCAGACAGTTTTGATTTTCCCTCTTTGATTCTTTCTTTGTGTTAGTGTGCGTGTTTTGGATTCAGAAGATATGACCCCCCATCTCAGATATCTTTTCATAGTATTTTTAGGATTTCTTAGAAATATTTAGTGCTAACACGACACAAGGCAAGAACAAGTCACAGCATAGATGAACCGGCCCAGTTTCAGATTCTTTTCATTCATCACCATTGATCCATCAGCTCACAATCAAAATGGTAACAAGTAAAGTTTCTAAGTTCAACATTCTCTAAATGAGAGAAATTGTGATTCATAATAGAGTTTACTGTGTATGATGTCATTCAAACACAAATTATTATAAAAATCTACACTGAAGACTCAAAAACATGAGAACAAATAATGTCATATTTTTGTTTTGTTTTAACAAGAGAAACTATGTACTTTTGCACCAGTTTAACTGGTTGATCAATTCTATTAAAAGCTTTCCTGAAAGTGTAACAATTCCTCAAAAAATGTATTCTTTCAGTTAAGTGTCAGCTGTAAAGTGTTTGAACTTACTGTGGTTAAGATGATCCACAGTAAAAAGATAAAAATTAAAAATGTTTGAAAGTTTGAGGAAAGGTCAAGTATTAGTTCTCAAATTCATCATTCACACACACACACACACACACACACACACACACACACACACACACACACACACACACACAACAGGAGCACTGAAATATGATTAGTACAAATCAGGTGAAAGCAGATAAGTAAAATAACTCAAGTTAGAAATTAAAACATTGTTGTTATCATACATAAAAACTGTACCTGTGGATACAGCTGGTGCTCCCCTTGACTTGTATAACAATTCTGTAAAAGGCAAGGGAAAATCTAACAACTTTATACTTCCTGGGTTACATTTAAAAAAAGCATGTACAGGAAGTCAAAGTAATGTCCCCAAACCTGTTTGACTAAGAATGTGGGAGGGACCCTAACCTGGTTTTCGCACGAGGCTGCTCCACTGTTTAAAATGCAGTTCCAACCCATGAAAAATCATTACAATATTTTGCCAAAAGAAACAGAACTAAAAGAAAAATGCCACTGTGGTGCAGGACATTCCAACCTTTGTGCATTCTTTGTAATCTCTCTAATTAATTAATTAATTAATTAATTAACTAAGGTTTTAATAGAAGTTAACTTCTGTATTACTATGTAAAATAAATAGTTCTCGTGAAATTTTAGTTTTAATATTGATAGAATGAAGATTGTTTTGTATATATATATATATATATATATATATATATAGATAGATAGATAGATAGATAGATAGATAGATAGATAGATAGATAGATAGATAGATAGATAGATAGATAGATAGATAGATAGATAGATGGATGGATGGATGGATGGATGGATGGATGGATGGATGGATGGATGGATGGATGGATGGATGGATGGATGGATGGATGGATGGATGGATGGATGGATGGATGGATAGATAGATAGATAGATAGATAGATAGATAGATAGATAGATAGATAGATAGATAGATAGATAGATAGATAGATAGATAGATAGATAGATAGATAGATAGATAGATAGATAGATAGATAGATAGATAGATAGATAGATAGATAGATAGATAGATAGATAGATAGATAGATAGATAGATAGATAGATAGATAGATATAAATAATTTTCACCTTTTGCAATTTTGGTAAAATAAGTGAGAGCATGTTTTGGGCATATGTATTTATTTATGTTTATTTATTTTTTATTGCTGTGTATGTTTAACCGTCTCAGGCTCAAAATAAATTTTGATTAAAGGACGAACAACTAAGTCCATCAGGAGTACTTCTGAGTTAAAAAAATGTTCATGAAATACGTATGTGGAGTAACCAGGTAGGTAGGTTTTAACGTTGCAAATCTGCAACGCCTGTGTCCAGAGGGTTAACCATGTTCCACACAAGAGGAAAACTGAGCTTCACAAATGTTGACAGAAAACTGACTGGACCAAACACCAACTGCAGGCGGCCCACGCACCCTCGGTGGTTCTCCGCTAGGGTGCGCCAGAGCACATGCGGAAGTTGAAATGAAATGAGTCCTCTTTTTTTGTACGTAAAAGTTCTTCATGTTTATTTCAGTTCAGCACAGCAGTGCTGTTATTGTTCTAGTCTGAGTTTTTCTCTATCCTTATCCTTAAGAACAAAATTAATTATTTTTTACATTTCCTGAAAACGTCTGAAGACAACACGTGACTTCTGCTTTGGTCACGCGGTCTACGACATCATCCCGAGCCTTGCTGACGCAAAATGCGTGTGGCGGTGAAACCGGCTTTTTCTAGTCTTCATTCTCAATAATTGTTACTCAACGTTTGGTTAAATGGAATCTGGGATCGTCATCTTCTAAATTACTGTGGAAACCGCTCCCCGGCCTTAGCTTGTCCCGCTTCAGGAAGTGTTTACATTTATGACGCCAGTTAGCGTCGCTAGCATAGCGTGTGAACTTTCACCACTTCTTTTTTATGTAACCGAGGTTCTGATTAACGCTTTCGAGCTAACCGGACAGGTGAAGCTACCGGTGGAGGGGGACTCAATGGTACAGGCTGGACTTTAACTTGAACTTTTTTTTATTTATTTGGCCAGCGTCGCAGTTCAGGTTGGTTAAGTCTGACCGACTTTCTCGTGCTGTGTTCGAGGTCATTCTGTAGCTTTCGGGGGGATACCATCATGAGGAGCCTCCCGTACTTTTGTCGAGGTCAGGTCGTTCGAGGATTTGGACGAGGAAGCAAAGAACTCGGAATTCCCACAGGTGAGACATTTACCTGGCATCTCTTTCCTTTTATAGTTAGCTCTCCTACAACATGGAGACTACTCAGTAAATTATTGTTTTGTTAAGCCAAAGAACCAAATATCGTTTACATCCCATTTGATTGATTTGTTGACTGTGCGCCGGTAATCACATACATATAGCGGCTCTTATTTTGTTGAGGTAAATGTGTTACGTAACAGGACTTGACATCTAACTGAAGTGCGTCCTTCGGATTGTTCATAGTTAAATTCCCATTTAATAAAAATAACCCCTAGATTATTGATTTGGAGTATTTTATTCCACAACGTTTAAACGCAGGGTTAATATTTATAATTTCAATGTTGGTTTTGTTTATTATATAATTGCTGAACTTTGGTTACTTTTACTACTACACTTTTACTGAGTGTTTTTTCTTTTAATAAAAATGAACACAGCAGTAAATAAATTATGTTGATTAGAGTCAAAGTAAGAGAAATTACATAAAATTATCTTTTTTCATCAAAAGTTCTGTGGTGATGAGTAGATCTTTTGAAATACAGCCCATAATATTGTGTAAAACAGTATAGAGAAGGGGTCTACTATAGAGGCCGACCCGATGGTTTTTCTATTTCCCATGCTGATGTGTACTGCCGATTTTTTATGGGCTGATTCTCATGACTGATATCTAGAGGTTTTTCACCGTATTTTCATAGTAAAATGTCACTTCATCAATTCATGCACAAAATTTCTGAAGTTGAATCAATTTTTGAATCCTATCTTAATGTGCATCTCTCAGTGGTAAAGTCAGATGCCTAAATAAAGTTTTATTTAGAGTATTTATTATGCAGATGTTATTAGTGACAGTAATAGGCTTAAATTAAATACTGCAACAGCACCGAGCTGCCAGAGGATGTGCCTGACTTTAAATCGACGTTACTAAGGACAAATATTGACCAATGCCAATTATGCATATATGCATTAAAAAACCGGTAAATATAAGACGATTATATTGGCTGATTGATATATCAGTCTTCACCAAGTCTGTAACCAAAGAGCCATTTCCCCCCTAAGGACACTGTAAAGATATATATATATATATATATATATATATATATATATATATATATATATATCCATGTTTGTAGCCTAAGTGAATTTCACCTTCTGTTTTTATAAATTATCACCTCTCCAGCCTTACAAATGGTTGACCTCATTCACTTCTAGCCTATTTCAGCTTGATCAGTTGTTCTGCATGTCTGTTTTTCTTCATTTTTAATCATTCGCCGATTTGTCTCGCTTCCACAGCAAACTTCCCAGACTCTGTGGTGGACAGTCTTCCAGCAGATATCCGTACAGGAATTTATTATGGCTGGGCATCCGTGGGCAATAGCAATGTGTACAAAATGGTGATGAGCATCGGCTGGAACCCGTACTACAAAAATACAAAGAAGTCTATGGTAAGAACCATTAGAGGGGTTTTTCACCTCCAGCTGGGTCAGAGAGAAAGTGATCTCACACACATCTTTACCGTTTGTAAAAGAAGAGATTTTAAATCAGTGATGGTCTGGTCACAAGACATTGTATAAAGATATAGCAGTAAATTAATTAAAAACAGCGGTTCAACACCAATATGATTTAGAGCAAAAATACAGTGCATATGAAAATGACTGTTGACTAATTTAAATATAATATTCAGTGAGGGGATTTTTTCATTTAGCTTTTGGATTAATTTGGGATGTTTTGTTTGGTCTCCTTAGTGGGAAGTCATTTAAAATCCTCACAAAGCTGTTTTGTTATTAGATCACACTGATACCTTAGTTAAAGAGTGAAAAACTTCACTAATGATCTTCTAAATGTTTGCTAAGCTAATGCTGAGCAGCTGGCGCTAACATTAAAACAAACTAGTTTCCTGGTTGAGCCAGCTGAAACACTTAATCAGTTTTGGCTGAGACTAGAATATTTCTTTAAGGTTTGAGTTGCTAATTTAATCTGATGCTTCCATATTCCAAGCAGCTATTATCAGAATTCCTCCATGCTCCTTCAGACTGGGATGCTTAAACAGGGAATAATACAAGTTGATCTCAGTTATTCTCGCTTAAATAAAACCTGTTTAACATAGCTGCATCTGCAGTCCTTATTAATGTTTACGTGAATGTATTTTATTCCAGGAGACTCACATAATTCACAAATTTAAAGAGGACTTTTATGGGAATATCCTGAGTGTCGTCTTGGTGGGCTTCATCCGCCCAGAGAGGACCTACAACTCCCTCGGTACGCCTTTTTCCTCACCTACCTCAGATGAATATACACTGGTTTCAAAGTTCTTATTGGTTTTTTTTTTTTTTTTTACTACTTTCGCCCACATTCTCTGTTCTGTCCATCTCCATCTCAACAGAAGCTCTCATCGCAGCCATCAATAATGACATTGAGGAGGCTAAGATCAAGCTGGAGCTCCCAGAGCATCGCAAACTAAAAGACGACCACTTCTTCACCAACACGACAAACTCGTCTCCAGTGTCATCGTCAAGCTCCGCATCCACATCCCAGACTATCATTAACGGTCACTGACAGCTGGCTGAGACACCCAAACAAAGCTAGCGCATATCCACAACCGCCTTTTCATTCACTTTTATTTTTCTTTATTAGGTTTTTTTTTTTGTTCTAACAGCTGTTGAAATGCAGCCAGTCTTTGAGTAGATTATGAATTATGTAAATATTCATACCAGTCTGCCTCTTTGCCTCTCACTAGTCCTGCTGTATAGTTAGTCATTTAAAGAGGGGAGGAAATAAATACTTTCTGTGTATACTGTGTACTACCACCTGGTAAAGAAGTTTGCACCAATATTAAATTAAAGAAAAATTAAGAATGTTGACAATTATTGTTTGTGGGTTGTATCACTATAATTAAAACTCTTACTGAAGATATGAATTTACATAAAATAACTGTACTTTTTACCCTTTTTCTGTCCTTTCTGTATTTTAGAGTCTTGATCATTTAGGCCCTGAAATTAGAAACTTCTCAGATCATTTGGGTTTCGAACCATAATGCATTAATTTATTAGGAATATTTTTGGAAAGATTTGTTGAGAGACCTGCTGCAGGGTATATTTTTTTTTATCTTAAATTTATTTTAAAATGACTCATATGGATGAAAAAGATTCATTTATGAACAGAACACTTAGGCTTTAATGAAGGTCATCACCTTTTATTTAGGTATAAACATTGGTAAAATTTTGAAAAGGGGGGGATCCACGTGTTATTTTGATATTTTCTTAAAGTCTTTAAACATTAATTTATACTCGTCACATTGAAAATCTATAGAGAAATCTACTCTGCATAATGTATGTGGTCTCTTGATTTTTGCAGAAATCATCAAATGCTATAAAAGAAACATCTTGTGAGATGATTTAATGCCTGTGTGTGCCTGAGAAATTTGGTGAAACCTTCAATCATGATTTATTTAGCCATTTTGTAATTTGTTTCAGTTGGGATATTTAATGTTTAGAGTTTAGATCTTTTTTTTCTGTTAAATGTTATGCAGACAATAAACTCAACATTGTCATGAATGTTGACACGTTAATCACTTCATCTCTTATTTTTGTATATTTTGTGTGTGTGCGGGGGGGGGGTTGGTTTTTTGTTTTGTTCAAGTCAAATGTGCTGCTTCAGAAAATCTGTAAAATATCACAAGAAATCTGTTATGATTTTGGTGTTTTTGTACTCGTCTGTTGCAACGGTATACTGGTGTTATTGCAAGAGCGTAGGTTCCTGCAAGCAGACTGAACAGTTTAAGCGTTTATGTTTTTGCATTATTTTTAAACCATATAAATTAGTATTTCTGAAGATGACATATGTAGTTTGTGTTTTATTACACCCCCTTTTTTCAGTGTTGCACAGATCCGAACTTCAAAACCAACACGTTTTTTCACATATTTATTTAAAATCTTTATTTTTTGTATTTCCTTGTTAAGTCTTTTATTTACAGCTCAATATTAATTTAAAAAAGCAATTAAAATGACACTTTACAATAGAGCCCCTATGTTAATGTTACTTAGTGCATTATTAAGCATTAATAAACAAAGGGACCCTTTATTACTTTTACCTTTATTGTTATTAAGTGTCCTTAAGGTTAGGACAAGTAATTAGTAATGCACTACATAATATGGTTAAGTAGCTGTTAATACTTTAATAGTTTATTAATGCTTAATAATGCACTAAGTAACATTAGTAAAGAGACACTTGTTGGAAAGTGTTTGCAAAATCTTCTGCTACATGTTTGTAGGGTTTTTTATTTTTGGAGCTCAGAAAACGTTCACAATGGTACATGACATTTATGAATAACTAGTCCGGTAACCAACTGTCATTTAAACTGGAACTGAACAGTTTGTTTCTTGTGAGTCATACAGTATGTTACACAATCTGGCAATAACAAACATTTATAGACGTTAGTGATAAGACTTAAATAGCTATAATTCTGAAATAGAAACGTTTCACCTTGCTTGAGCCACACATTGTGCAAAATATTCTAAAAGGACACATTAGAAAAAAATTACATCACAATCATGAGGAAATTTTAACCACAGAAAAATGTAAAGAACTGGTTTGATGTTTTTATCTAAACGTGTAGCTCTCATCGTCATACTCCAGCTCAACATCATCATCATCCAGCAGTCCGTACTTAAATTTCCGATACACCGTTCCATCTTTTGTCATGTACACAATATCCTCATCAACGTACTCTTCATCGTTGTCCTCACATTCCGTGATTTTGTCGCTGTACTCTCCAAACGCAGAGGTGGTGGTTTGTGGCATGAAGCCCCCGTTGGTGTTCAGCTGCTCGTAGCCTCCGGCTCTGGTTCTAGGCTTCGTGGAGCAAGGCTTTGACCGAGTGCTAAGGAAGAGGAAGATTCCTAGGCCCACAAAGAGGATAACCACAACACAAATACAGATGAAGAGTCTAGGAGTGCTGTTTACATCATCAACCGTCTTCATCACAAAGTTGACCCCCAGGATGCACTCCACTGGAGAAGAAGGAAGAGGAGAAAGCATATTAACAAATGATAACAGATTTTTGGTGTGCAGCAGATATAAATTCTCTTTTAGGAATGACCAATGTTTTCTTTCAGGCATTACGCGACGCTTCAGTGTCTGGTGGAACGGCCAGGTAATCATGATAGAAGATATGAGTTGCTAGTTACCTAAAGCGAGTTTTTAATTTTTATGAGGGGACCACTTACCAGTACATTTTGGTGTCCGAGTAAGTGAGACTATTAGCCTAGTGAACTAGACCAAATTCTTGCTTTGCAAAGTTTGGTCTAGGAACGCTCCACTGGAACCTCTGCAGCCCCTAACGGCATTCTGGCTGGCCAATCACAGCTCTCTAGAGGGGTTTCAAACACATAAAGAGCTGTGATTGGTCCATAATGGTGGGCCAATCATAGTGCTCTATCTGCTTAGTGAACAAATCACAGCGCTTTATCCGCTTTGTGGGCCAATCAGGGCACTCTATATGCCTGGTGGGTGGGATGATGCAACAGAGTGAAACAAGATGGCGACAGCTCATTTGAAACAGCTTTTACATTATTAGGTGTGTTCTTACTGTGTCGTGGTTCTAATTCCATGCTTTCGTTCTTTTTTAAACACAGAAACAGTTTTGTTTACCTGTTTTGTAGCTACAGTTTCGCCGACGGCTGCCAGAAAGGAGTGCGAGAAAGAGGCAAATCGAAAACACACAAGAGCAGCAAAAGAAGAAGCAGAAAGTACAATAAAGAAGTCAGCCGTAACAGATCACTGCATAAGAGAAAACCATATAATGGACTGGGACAACACAAGGATCATAACCACTGAACAACAAAAATACAAAAGATGGATCAAGGAAGCAATCGAGATAAGGAGACGTGGATGTGGGACCATGAACAGGGACGACGGAGTTTACACGCTGGACCACGCATGGGACTGCATCGTCGGAGAGGGGAGAGTGGGCAGTAGAGGGCGACAACATCCTCTGCTGCCCGCAGATAAACGGAGAAGGAAGTGACGCGCCACCATCAGCGTCAGCCTGAAGAAGCCGGCAGCCGTCGGCGAAACCGTAGCTACAAACAGGTAAACAAAACTGTTTCTGTGTTTAAAAAAGAACGAAAGCATGGAGCTTTTACATTAATTTTGGACTATTAGAACTTGGGCTTCATTAGAATCAGGAGCAGATAGATGTATTTAAGAGCTTATTTTTAGAAAAAATGATGTGTTTTCTCCTTCTTCAACTGCGGACCGCCTCATTTACCGATGGCTGTTGCGGTGAGTATGTCACATTCATTGTCCAGTAGCATGCAAAGCTCATTTGAAAGACAACAGTAGCAACCGCCCCACAACTGAGAGCCGTCAATGGAGCGTTGCCAGACTAAATAATACATTTATTTAGTCTGTCTTGCCAGGCTATGAGACTATGTCAGCATATTGGATTTCGGGGTTAAATGCTGACTTCAAACATTTGTACGTTTTTCTTAACCCCTATGTAGCCCTTTCATCTCTTAAATTGACCTCTCTTCTTTTTTTGTTCGGACTTGAAAGACAAAATAAAACAGTTCCCAAAGAATTTCTGAGTGAGTTTCACAACCGTTCAGTTCGCCTTATCTATAGAAACGAAGGCCAAGGGCAGTTGAAATGCTCCCGCATCAAATACTGGGAACAGCCGTTTAGCTGGAAGTTAAAACTTTGGCAATCATTTCAGCTGGATGAAGTAAAGAGGGAAGACCTTTATAAATAAATTACACACATAAAAAAGCATTTTATGATTAAGAATAAACACATCTATTCACAAATTCGTGAAAGGGAATTTCATTGAAGAGATGAAGCAATTGGCTTATTTTAGCTGCAAAATGTGCTTCACAGTGAGTGTTTTGTTCACCTCGGGATGCCTCGCAGTCACAGCACTCCCTCGGGATTGGTTTATCGTACGGAAATGTCGGATTTCCACAGCAACTCAAGCAGCGGCCATCGTCAGATAAGAGCTGGGTCGGGGGGCACAGAGTGCATTGCCATGAGCTGGAACCCCAGCAGCCCTCACACGAAGGATCACAAGTTTTACATTTGGGTGTTTTACTCTCAGAATCCTGAAATAACACAAAAACATGTATGTGTGTGCAGTACTGTGCAAAAATGATAGAGCACATTAATGGTTTAAGACTTTGGCGGACGTTTGGCTCCTTAAAAGGAAGATGTGGTGGAACAAAGAACCTTTTGTTCTGACTCATGTTGAATTGTTTCAGTCCTACTGTTGATATAAAACCAGTTAATGTAAACATAAATGTTTTCTGTCACCTCTGAGGCTGGATAGAAGCCAATCATGCAAGGGTTATAACAGTATCCACCCATAAACATAAAGCCGTCGTAACAAGATAGACAAGCAAGAGCTCCTTCATCTGAAATGACAGGAATTTTAAGCAAAGCACGATCTCATCGCATGACTCAAAAACAATTGTTCTAAAAAACACAACGCAGACGTTCTTCATCTCCTTATCCCACATGACGTCAGTACGTCTTTCTTTTTTTTACCACTGCAGGTTTTGCAGGTTGGGTGACACTTGGAGCAGGTGGTAGATCTTTTGTCTTTGTAGTATCCTAGAGGACAGCTCTTCAGGCATCGCCCCCACTGCTTCATGAACACATAGCTCCCCCTGCAGCTCAAACAGTTTCTGTTCCCAGGACCAAAGCACTGGCTGCACGAAGGGTCACATCGCTCACAGATCTTTGTGCTCCTGTTGCCAAAGTAGCTGAAAAACAAATAGAATTTCAGTTTAGATGATGAACACCAAAAAAAACCTCTCTAAATGAGCATTGTTTACCTCTCTGAGCAGGTCTCTACACAGCTGCCGCCCTGCCTAAAATATCCAGGTTTGCAGGCGACACACTGCAGACTGTGATTACCAACACAAGACTCGCAGCTGAAGTGGCATCGCTGACACTCACGCCCTTCTTTGACTTCAGTATAGTAACCCACGGGACACTTTTTCACACAGGTGTTGTCTAAATAACACAAATGCAATGAAAATGTATTTAAATGCAAAGAAATAAAAGTCTTAAGTCGGAAGACTCACTCAGCAGGAAGCGCTGACTGTTGCAGCTGAGGCAGTGGTCTCTGTCTGCACCATTACAGCGATTGCAGAGTGCGTGGCACTGTTGGCACTCTCCGTTTGGGTCCATGTATGAGTCCATAGAGCACTCACTGTACCACACACAGTGCCCACTGGCATCCTTGCGCCTGCTGGGATCACAGCTGAGGCAGTCGGATGGACCATAACCCGAGCAGGTCAAGCACGACTTGTCACAATCTGAAGAAACAAGAACAAAGCCTTCTGGAAACCGCAGCAAAGACAAAATCTTGTGATTATAACACAAATGTTGCATTCTCAGATTTCACTTTTCCTACCTCTGCATTCATTTGTATTCTTGTCATAGTAAGTGTTGCTCGGACACTTAGCCAGACACTCTCCATTGTAACGAACAGCTCTTGTGTTGCTACACCTGTCGCAGTCATCAAAGCCTGGCCCGTCACACGATGCACAATCAACATGACAGCGCACACACTCCTGTTGCTTGTCACTGGCAAAGTAACCCTCAGGACAATCATCTACACACTCGTCAACATGGAGGAAGTAATACTCCGCACACTCTGACAGAAAGCAAAAAATTTGCAAGGTGATAAATGACGATTGTTTGAAATTTCTCCTGCTCACAAATATTGAAATGAGACCTCAATGATGTCTGATTTTACGAACTTAAACATGCATTCAGTTCATTAAGAAGGGACTAAATGCAGTGGAGGAATTTTTTCATTTTATTATTTCAAAGACGTTTTAGTTTTATTTGATTTCACAGTTATGTTTAATAGTAAAGTCTCTTTTCACATTATTTTTGACATAATGTCCACAAACTGCAAAATATGCTTAAATTTAGAATTCTTGGTCTTTGTTTGCAGCCGAGTGTGAAGCAGCTGGGATGAGAATCAGCTCCTCTAAATCCGAGAACATGATCTTGAGTCGGAAAAGGGTAGAATGTCTTCACCAGGTCAGGGATGAGGTCCTGCCCCAAGTGGAGAAGCTTAAGTATCTCTGGGTCTTGTTCACTAGTGAGGGAAAGATGAAGCGTGAGATCGACAGGCGGAGTGGTGCTGCGTCTGCAGTGATGCGGGCGTTGTACCGAAGCTCTCGATTTATCGGTCGATCTACGTTCCTACCCTCACCTTGTTCACGAGCTTTGGGCAGTGACCAAAAAACGAGATCGCGATTACGAGCGGCCAAAACGAGTTTTTTCCACAGGGTGGCTGGGCTCTCCCTTAGAGACTGGTTGAGAACCTCAGTCATCTGGGCTCGGAGGAGATCCGCTGCTCCTCCACATTGAAAGAAGCCAGTTGAGGTGGCTTGTGCATCTGGTTACAGTGCCTTCCTGGTGAGGTTTTCCGGGCACGTCCAACCAGGAGGAGACCTAAATGAAGACCCAGGACAAGCTTCGTCTCTCAGCTGGCCAGGGAACACCTTGGATTCCCCCCAGAGGAGCTGGCCCAAGTGGCTGGGGAGAGAAAAGTCTGGGCCTCTGTGCTTCGGCTACTGCCAACCCCCAGATAAGTGGATGAAAATGGATGGATGGATGAGTTTTATTTATTGTCACTTAAAACATCCCGGTCAATAACTCTTCAAGGTTGTTTATGCAGAATTCTTATTAGAGGGCTTCTACGTCCCACTGATCCACCGAGTGTACTTACTCTTACACAGACCATCCTGATTGCACTCTCTGCAGTGATCTGGACAGTGATGGCATTCTGTGTTGTTTCTATAAAATTCCTCTGGACAGGAGGACAGGCAGGAATGATCCAGCAGCAAAAATGGACTCTGGCAGCTCAAACAGTGAGACGGAGTCTCCCTGCAGGATCCGCACTCTGAGGCACACGGATGGCATGCAGCACCTTGCGGAAACCCTCTGGGAACGAAGCAGATAAAACGGCGTTCGTATGTGCGTTTGTTGGGTGAATGTACAAATCGAAAAGTCATACAACAGGAGCACCTCTGACATGTCACCACACACGTTCCATTTTGCAGATAAAGTCCTTTGCGACACTCCTGGCAGACTTCTGCTTCTCGGCACATTGCACACCCTGTGAGACACTCCTCACACCGACCAGTTGTCTTATCGCCAAATGTCCCAGAGGGACAATGGGAAAGACAAGACTGAAGAGGTGTCAAAAAATTTCCTAAAACCACAAAAAAGTTATAAAATCATCCAGTTTAGTAGAGAAGTTAGGTTAATGTCTTTGTATTGTGTTCAATGGAGTATTCACTGTAAAAAAAAAATAGAGTGTCAACTTATTTTAACCAAGTGTTTGCAACTATTTAAAGAGTAAACCAACTCAAACATCAGAGTTAAAAGTCAGTGTTACATTCTGCAGACATGCAGTGTTACATGTCTACTCTACATGGAGTTTATTTCATTTACTCGTCTAGTTTGTTGTTAATGACAAAACTAACAGGAAGTACTTAACACTGAAAATGTAACACTGGCTGAAGAGTACATTTACTCTATTTTTGACTGGGACCTGATGTTATCTAAACTGAGTTAAATTCAACTCCTTTGGAGTTGAAAATACACAACACACACACACACACACACACACACACACACACACACACACATATATATATATATATATATATATATATATATATATATATATATATATATATATATATATATATATATATATATATATATATATATATATATATATATATATATATATATATATATACATACATACATACATCTACACACACTGATCAGGATGTGTGCTGTTGATTGAACTCTGCAAGTTCTTATAGACATTTTACTACAGCATAGAAACCATTTACCAGAGTGGCAACTGCTGCAATTTCCCTTCTCTGCACCAAAACATGTGTTACAGGAGGTGTGGCACGGCTCACATTTGTCCTGATCTGATGAGAAATGACATTTTACCGTTAGAATGACAGAAATAAGAGTCCTAAGTCCAAAGAAAGACAATTTGTCATTTTAGAAGTGATCTACTGATGTTGCATTCCTGTTCTTTGGATTAGAAACACAAAAGATTAAAATATTCACCAGTCAGATCAGGTCAGTGTAGACTTACTGTTTACAAAATATTTCTCAGGACAAACAACCAGCTTTCTTCTCTCGAGACACTCCCCGTCCGACAGTGTCACCCCGTCCTCACAGGAGTCACAGTCATCATGTCTGGGCCCTCCACAAGTGCGACAGTTGCGGTGACATGGCTCACACTCCTGGTTCTCCTCATCCACAAAGTACCCTTCCTCACAGTGGTCCACACACTCTCCATCTGCACAAAACACACACACACACACACACACACACACACACACACAGACGAATGAGATGAACTGAAATAATCAGTGTTAAAAATAATTTTTAATTAGGAGTTCACCATCTAAAACTGATTGAAACTCAAAAATGACAACTGTTACCAAAGACAAAGAATCCATGATCACACCAGTAGCACTGAGACTGGTCACACACTGCACAGTGTTTATCTTCACAGGCAGCACACACCATGGTGTCCTCCACGTTGTAGGTCCGATCTGGGCAGAACTTCTGGCAGTCAGCTCCTAACCTGGAGAACAAACACAGTAATTAAAAAAAATGCTGCGGACACAGTGTTCTGACTCAGTCTAAGGACACTTACTGATAGAAACCATCTTCACATTTAACACACATGGTTTTCTGTTCCTCGTCTCCAGCATCCTCTGAGATGGCATGCAGAAATGAAAACAAACATATAAAATCCGATATCAGAGCAAAACGTCATGTAGAGCTGCAGGATTTTATCAGACTTCAAATTAATTTTACTATTTTAAGAACAGATTTCAGTCATAAATATAATGTCCACAGTTTGGTTCCTTGTGTAGAACCTCTTTCCACCAGCAGGGGGTACTCTAACATTTAATCAATAGCTTAGTGGTAGATTCTTCTTGCCTGTGATCAGTGCTTTAAGACACAACTCCTCATTTCTGAGGGTACTTACGAATGTGTGTGACTGATTTTATTTTTGAGTCCATCTTTGCGAGTGTGTGTGTTGTTTATGCTGCAGGTGCAGTTTGCTTTACACAAGAAAAACGTGCACAGAAGGTTGAAGTTGTTTGTTTTTGTGATTTTTTATACTAAAAAAAGAATTCAGGAGATTTTAGGATGTTGTACTGTGTGCCTACACACACACACACACACACACACACACACACACACACACACACACACACACACACACACACACACACACACACACACACACACACACATTCTTGTACTTACTACATACTGAGGACCAAGTAAAACTACTCACAAACTGAGGCCCACCATTTGTGATGTACTTAGAGACACACAAAAATGATTTCTGGACACTGGGTGTAAAAACCAACCTAAACACTCCTTTAGATATTGCAATATTGCCATTTTTCAAAAAAAAGTTTTTAACCAGCCTACTGAGGACCAATTGCTCAGCTGACCCCCCCCCCCAAGTTATGAAATAATAACTGTTGATCTCATATTTTGGAGCAAAACAACCATGTCTGATATGTTTTTTTAAATATATATACTGTGAGGATTAAATTAATGTTATAAGCAAGAAGAAGCCCACTATTATTTTTTTAGAGAAAGTGGTCAATTTACTAAAACACAATAAGGTAACTTCAGTTGTGTGGTTCTTTGATAAAGTCAAACTTACAAGTTAATATATTTTTAAATAATTTGATTTCATTGCATTTTAACACATTTTTATTATATAAACAGAAGCCTTACAGCTTTTTAAACATTAACATTTGTGTAAGTTTCGAGACACTTAGAAATGCCTTAATGTTTTAGTGAGTTTGTAATCTTTATAATTTCATTTTACACATAATCCATGTTCTTTCCAGGTTCTCTTTTGGAGAACAGGAGAGGATTTTTCAATGCTTAGGATACAGTCTTTTTTCCTGGCACCTTCCGCAAAAACAGCCAAGTGTTGCTTAACTGCCAGCTTCTCCTGCTCATTCCATGGGGTCTTCCCTTTAATTTGCAAATGACCGACAAAAAAGAAGATACATCTTTAGTTGATGCTGCCTTTATTTTGTTGCACTCAATTTCTTTATGATTTTACTGTATGTCATGTTAAGATTAACATGACATACAGCTAAAAGCAATTTCTCAAAATTACGAGTATACATATTTTTTAATCTGAATTTTAACACAATTCAACATTTTTCTTCACTATTGTGAGAATATGAAACCCTCATAAATGCATTAAATGCTTTAATGTTTCAGGCCTTAAGTGTCTCAGAAAATATAAAATATGCAAGATAAAAGATAAATGACCCACACTTGTATAGTGCCTTTCATAGAGAATTCCAAAGTGCTTTAAACTACAGTGTATACTTCATCCATTCACGCACACATTCACACACTAGTAGTGATGAGCTACGATGTAGCCACAGCTGCCCTGGGGCACACAGAGACGCAAGGCTGCTAAGCACAGGCGCCACCAGTCCCTCCGATCACCACCAGCAGGCAAAGTGGGTTAAGAGTCTTGCCCAAGGACACAACAGCAGTATTGATTGGTCAGAGCCAGGATAGCACCTGCAACCTTCAGATTACTGGACAACCCACTCAACTTCCTGAGCTACTGCTGCCCCTATAAGAGAGAAACATTCAAATTAAAAAGTCTTTATTTCTATGCATCAATACTTGTCTTGGCCCCATTTTGCTTGAATTCATGCAGCAATGCAGCTTTAAAGAATTCCCAATCCAGAAACAATGATTGGACAACATTGTGGTCCCTGTTCAAAGCTGAAGATTCTGCGTACAGGTCAGTTAACTGGCTGGTTTTTAATTTGACATCTCAATAAGGGATATTGAAAAGAGGTTGTTTAAGGCACATACCGTAAATCCTCTAATACAGGCCTGGACCTGTATTTGACTCAAGCTCATCAAGCTCCAGGCCTTTATTGGAAGGAAGGCCAGAATTAGAGGCAGGCCTCTATTTCTGTTTGAGCAAAATTAACTACTGGTTCGCTGGACTTTTTGACAATTAAAATTAGATTGCGCAGCGGCCGCAAACTCACTGATGCGCCTGCAGCCTCTCGGAATTCCTGCTGCTCTAAACATTAAAATAATTATTTCATTTTCTGTTCCTCACTTCTGATTACCTTCAATGGTGTCTGTTGCAACCACCAGGTACAAAAACTAACTTGTTTTTATTTGACTATTTTTCTGTCCTGCCTGTTTATTATCTTCCTGCATCTCCTCTCAATCCTAAAGAGAAACTTCTACCTGGGTTCATATATATTCACCTTATGAGTTACATTTGTACTGCAGTTCTAAAAGATCTACCAACCGCAAAAACAGTGGAGTGCTCGCTGCTTGCCGGCCGCATCAGTGATTGGTGCGTCACCGGATGACAAGGTGATACGCCCCGCTCCACAACGAAACGCATCAGGCGCAAATAAAAGACAGAAAACATTAAAGGAAATGAACCGACATGAACGATCGCGTGTTAAATTTGTTTTTGAGGTGGCGACACCTGATTTGATAATGTCACTGTGGCCGTGCTCAGGACGCAGATCTACCGACCGCAAAAACAGCGGAGTGCTCGCTGCTTGCCGGCTGCATCAGTGATTGGTGCGTCGCCGGATAACAAGGTGATGTGCCCCGCTCCACAGCGAAACGCGTCAGGCGCAAATAAAAGACAGAAAACATTAAAGGAAATGAACAGACATGAACGATCGCGTGTTAAATTAGTTTTTGAGGTGGCGACACCTGATTTGATAATGTTACGGTGGCCGTGCTCAGGACGCAGATCTACCGACCGCAAAAACAGCGGAGTGCTCCCTGCTTGGCGGCCGCATCAGTGATTGGTGCGTCACCGGAGGACAAGGTGATGTGCCCCGCTCCACAGCAGCGAAACACATCAGGTGCAAATAAAAGACAGAAAACATTAAAGGAAATGAATCGACATGAATGATCGCGTGTCAGTACCGACGCTCTGGCACAGCGCGTTGCCCCCCCGAGCGCAGGAGCTTGTCACCTGCTGATAGCAGGCTGCTGTCTTTTCCGAGGGCTGCATCTTGCCAGTCATTATCACGTGACAGCTACTAGTCGATGACAGGCATAAAAAGTCACTATAGTGATGTCGACTAGTTCATACAACACCTATTGCTCCCCAGTGTTCTGCAGCGCACGTTCTCTTTGAACTTGATATCAAATTTTCGCCTCCTCTTCGTCTCCGCACGGTTAAAGTTACCCTCGCGGTCTATCACTGGCAAATCAAAAGTGAGACGATGACACAACCGCCCCCGTACTTGCTTGTTACCACATTCCACCCAGCCACAATAAGAGACCGGCCATTATTCACCTCCGCCGACTCCGACACCGGCCAAAATATGAGACCCGGCCGTTAATTGAATACAGGCCTGTATTAGAGGATTCACGGTAATTACCTAAACCAAACAATAACAGAAAATGTTTTGATAATTTTATTTCATGTTTGTAGTGTTTACAGAGGCAATTGAGACCTCAAATCCAATTTAAATTGCCAATTTTGACTTATGAAAGGCCTCAATTTGACTTTTGTTTTAAACTACCACCATACAAACCAATTTATTTGTACGAACCGCATTGAGCAGGATCAGCAGCAGCCACTCCATGCTTGGTTTTCATTTTCTTTCTTTGGACCGGGCTTGTGGAAGAAATCCCAAAAGGCTTTGCTCCATCTGAAAAGCACAAAACCATGATATAGAAATTGTTCAGAAAGAAGCCAGAGCACATTATCTGCATTCCCAAAGACTGGACTTACACTCATCTCCGTCACTGTCCTCATTGAGAGTTGTAATAGAGTTTTGTCCTTTGCCATGTTTCTCTTCCACAGACAAGTTCAGCAATCCCCTGTCTAATTAAAAAGTTTAAATCAATACATGTGAATCAGCATAGTTGATATCAGTCTTGGCCAAATTTCCAAAGTCTGCCATAACATACCACCATCATTGTCTGCATGTCTTTTTTGGGCTTTCCTTCTTTTGACAAGTTTATTTGATAAACTTGTGGGTTGCAACTCTCCATCTAAGGAACAATAAAATTTATTTAAGTATTTGAATTTTCAGCTAAAAAGCCAAACACTGGTGCAGGTTTACATGCATACAGTTTCAAGAAAATTGGAATTATGTGAATTCCAGCACAAATTAATCATAAAATATGATCTGAACTTAATCTAAGGCACAATAATAGACAGTCACAATCACAGTATGCTTAAACTAAAACCACACAAGTAATTGTTTCCATGTTTTTATTGAACACAACATGTAAACATTCACTGTGCAGGTGGAATAAGTATGTGAACCCCTAGACTAATGACATCCAATAGCTAAATGGAGTCAGGTGTCACCCAACTGGAGTCCCATCAATGAGATGACATTGGAGGTGTTGTTTAAAGCTGACCTGCCCTATAAAAAACTCACCAGTTATGAGTTTGCTTTTCTCAAGAAGCATTGCATGATGTGAACAATGCGTCATGCAAAATAGCCCAGAAGACCTAAAATTAAGAGTTGTTAACTTGCATAAAACTGGTAAGGGTCATAAAATTATGTACAAAACATTGATGTTTATAAATTGAGAAGTTCAGCACTGCTGCTATTGTCCCTAGGAGTGGCCGTCCTGTCAATGTGGCACAGAATAATCCTCTAGTGTAAAGACTAACAAAGATCTGTGGCATTTGCCAACATTCCTGTTGGCAAATGTACGATACATAAACACTCAAAAGTTCATGGGAAGCCACTGCTGTCCCAAAAAAATTTAGCTGCATGTTTAAAGTTTGCAAAAAAGCACCTGGATGTTCCACAGCCGCACTGGAAAATATTCTGTGGAAATATTGAGTTGTTGAGTGGTGAAAGAACCACACAACAGTATGTGTGGATAAAAAGAGACATGGCACACCAACATGAAAACCTCATTCCAACTGTGAAGTATGGTGGAAGGGGCATCATGGCTTGGGGATGCTTTGCGGCATCAGGGCCTGGACAGATTTCTATCATCGAAGGCAAAGTTAATTTCTAAGTTAATCAAGACATTTTAAAGTTAACTTTTTGCAGAAGATCTTAGAGCCATCGGTCCACCAGCTGAAGGTCAACAGACGATGAGTGACACAACAGGACAATGGCCCAAAGCATAGAAGTAAATCAACAAAATGGCTTAAACAGAAGAAAATACACCTTCTGGAGTGGCCCAGTCAAAGTCCTAACCTCAACCCGAATGAGATGCAGTGGCATGACTTCCGGAAAACATTCACACCAGACATCCCAAGAATATTGCTGAACTGAAACAGTTCTGTAAAGAGGAATGGTCAAGAATCACTGATCGTTATGCAGGTCTGATCTGCAACTACAGAAAATGTTTGGTTAAAATTGTTGCTGCCCAAGGAGGTTAGGGTTTAGGAAGTTATGAGTTATTAAAACCAAGAGTTCATATACTTTTTCCACCTGCACTGTGAATGTTTACATGATGTGTTTAATAAAAACATGAAAACACAATTGTATGTGTGATATAATAGGGTATTTCCATTGCCGGGTCTGGAACGGTCGGGTCTCGTTATTTTTGGAGTGGTGTGTTCTGGTATGGGTCTGCTCTCACGGTCCAGCCTAGCTTTAATTTCTTCATCTTTGCACAATACTGTGCCGAAGTCCACTCTGATCCTTTGGCTTCCATCCGCTGATAACAAAAAAAAACAACCTTTCTTACCTTTCAATCTAGCCCTTCCTGTGGACTGTCACGATGTCAGTGAGAAATGTATGGAACTCTGTAGGTGACCGTATAGAACTATGAATGTGACCAAAACTTGCCACTTGCTGGATTTTTTTTCACATTCATGTACAGCTAACAAAAATACAAACAACAGAACTCCGTTTGTGTTGCTTGCTGCAAGTTGTGAGTAATTTCTGTCAACCAATCAGTGGCCTGTGTTGTTGCTCTGTCCTAACCATACCGCTCCAGAAATTTCTGGACCTACAACAGAAGGAAGCCCAAAAAGTCCCGTGACTGGCGTGGTACAAGTAAGTTGTCTAGACAGAACAATCGGAACAGCAAATTTAGCAACCCGATCCTTCCCATTCCATGCTAAAACGGTCAATGGAAATGAGCCATTCATTGAAGCAGACTGTGATTGTCTATTGTTGTGACTTAGATGAAGCTCAGATCACATTTTATGACCAATTTGTTCCAAAAATATAATTCCAAATAGTTCACTTACTTTTTCTTGAAACTGTAAGTCATGTTAATATTGGTGTGTTTGCATGAAGACAACTGCATTTTGGTTGCCTTAAAATGTTTCCTACTTACTCGAGGAGCAGAACTGAAACATTGAATGACAAGTGAAACCTCTTCAGAAAACCAAAGAAGTCAGTTGGTCTTCATTCAAAGTAACTAAGAAGCTCAATAATCAACTATACTGGCATTTACCATGAATATCACAGTCGTCTTCCAAATCGCCATCAGAATCTTGGATAGCTGCAGTCAACGTTTGGTTTTCAGTTTCACTTGTTGAGTGAGCTGAGAGCCTCCGGTCTTCATCTGGAAACAATACAAAATAAACTGTCCAAAACTCAGAGCATCTTAGTGCCAATTTATGCTAGTGCCTGTATTTACCTGTAGCAGAACTGCTCTTAATCTCTCTGTCCCATCTTGTGTTTCTCATCTTTGACAGTTTGTAATTGATTCCTTTGTACTAGAAAGGGTAGGCTGTTCTCCATCTGATTTTATAACATAATTATATTTATATAAATATATATATACATATACATACAGCACTAATATCACAATGTAAATTGGACTTGAGAAGGTAGTGACAAAGTAAGGCAAAGTAGTCCACGCAGAAGGGGTCTCACACTTAAAAGGAACAGCAGCAGATATTGAGAATGCATACAAGCACAATGGTATCCCACAAGCAAATGCCAACCTCAATGAGGCTGCAAGGAAAGGAGCCACATCCAAATACCTACGAGTAAGACAAATCCCAAGAAGTCAGCTGCATGGCGAGAACAATATTCTGGCAATCAACTGCTACATCCTGCCAGTAATCAAATATACTGCATGAATAATAAGCTGGCCGAAGGAAGGAATTCAGATCAGATGTTAAGGCATGAAAGTTCCTAACCATGCATGGAGGGTTCCATCCCAAGTCCAGCACCCTGACACTGTACACTAGCCTTAAGGAAGGAGACCAAGAACTAGAAAGTGTGAGAGCCACTGTCCAGGATGAGAAAGATTCATAAGTACATCAAGGATAAGGCCCCAACAGATGATTTGTCAGTCAATGTGTCAGACAATGACGAACAGAGTAGGAGGCGCTTGAAATTACTGTCTTGTGAGGAAAACCCCTACATTGACAGATAACTGAAGTGGTTGATGAAGAAATCATACTAATGGCTAGAAAGAGCTGGTCTGAATTATAGTACGAAGGCACTTATCATGGCTGCGCAGCAGCAGGCCCTGAACACCAGAGCAACATATGCCAAGACACCAGACAAGACTCGAGGTGTAGGCTATGCAAAGAGGCCCATGAGACAATCCACCAAATAACTGCAGGGTTTAGGATGCTGGCAGGGAAAGCATACATGGAACAACACAACCAATTGTACAGGAACATCTGTGCAGAGTATGGACAGGAAGGCCCAGTACCAGACCTTCAAACCCTTTGCCTTCAGAACTGCCTTAATCCTTCATGGCATATAATCAACAAGGTACTGGAGTTTTTCCTGAGATTTGGTCCATACTAACATGATAGCATCACACAATTGGTGCAGATTTGTCACCTGCACATCCATGATGCAAATCTCCCATTTCTCCACATCCCCAAGGGTGCTTTGGATTGAGATCTGGTGACTGTGGAGGCCATTTGAGTACACTGAACTCATTGTCATGTTGAACAAACCAGTTTAAGATGATTCAAACTTTATGACATGGTGCATGGCCCTGCTAGAAGTAGCCATCAGAAGATGGGTACACTGTGGTCATAAAGGGATGGACCTGTTCAGCAATAACACTCAGGTAGGCTGTGGCATTGCAACAATGACTATTAAGTACTAAGGGGCCCAAAGTGTTCCAAGAAAATGTGCCCCACACTATTATACCACCACCAATAGCCTGAACCATTGATACAAGGCAGGATGGATCCATGCTTTCATGTTATTGATGCCATATTCTGACTCTACCATCCGAATGTCTCAGCAGAAATCAACACTCATCAGACCAGTCAACATTTTCCCAATCTTCTACTGTCTAATGTTGTTGAGCCTGGGTGAACTGGAGTGACACCCAGTGTGGTCTTCTGTTGCTGCAACACATGTGCCTCAAGGTTTGACATGTTGTGCATTGAGAGATGCTCTTCTGCATAACTTGGTTGTAATGAGTGGTTATTTGAGTTACTGTTGCCTTTCTATCAGCTTGAACCAGTCTGGTCTGTCCATTCTCCTCTGACCCTTGGCATCAACAAGGCATTTTTATTCAAAGAACTGCCGCTCACTGGATGTTTTCCCTTTTTCAGACCATTCTCTGTAAACCCTTAATATAGTTGAGTGTGAATTTCTAAGAAAATCATTATTTTATTAAATACAGTATTTTCCGCACCATAAGGCGCTATTAAAAACCTTTGATCTTCCCCTGAACCAGCAGTGCGCCTTTTAATACGGATGCGCCTTATATACATGTATTTTGGACATAAGTGAAGCCAGCCACACCTGCGTCCGCAGGAAAACAAAGAGCCGGCCAGTAGCACCGCCCACCCTCACCAAAATAAAGGGTGTGGCACTGCTCCACACAGGTACACCGGTAACCAGCTATGGCACCAGTGAAGAGACACGCCGTTGAGCATGGAAACAGAGCAGCAGCAAGGGAATACAACATTGACGAGTCGATGGTCTGCAAGTGGAGAAAGTTGAAAGACCAGCTGCTACAGTTGAAGAAAACAGCATAGCTTCAGAGGCAACAAGGCAAGATGGCCACTGCTTGAAAACCGAGTTGAGCAGTTGGTCGCAAAGCAGCGAGCAGAAGCGTCTCCACCATCTCCATTCGTCTCACAGCTGCGGCATTAGCAGGAGAGATGGACATTGTGGACTTCATAGGAGAACCTTCCTGGTGTTTTTGCTTCATGCGGAGGCGAGCACTTTCTATCTGCACCAGAACTACCGTCTCGTAGCAGCTACCTGCCGACTACGCTGAGAAGCTAGAGTTGTTCCACGCCCATTGCACTAAGACGATGGCAGACAAAAACATCCAGCCCCAGTACATCATCAACATGGACGAGGTCCCGCTTACCTTTGACATCCCGGTGAACCGGACCGTGGAGAAAATGGGGAACAGCACGGTGTCTGTGCGGACGACCGGCCACAAGAAGTCCTGCTTCACCGTCATGCTCGAATGCCAGGCTCATGGCCAGAAGCTGCTGCCGATGGTCATTTTCAAGCGGAAAACTTTACCCAAAGAAAAGTTTCCCGCCGGCGTGATCATCAAGGCGAACCCGAAGGTTTGGATGGATGAGGACTTGATGGCGGCGTGGCTGCGGGAGGTGTACACCAAAAGACGGGACGGCTTCTTCCACACTTCTCCAGCCATGCTGATCTGCGACTTCATGCGGACCCATCTCACCGACGCCGTTAAAATCCAGGTGAAGAGGATGAACACGAAGCTCGCCATCATACTGGGTGGATTAACCAAAGAACACAAGCCGCTGGACATTGGGGTGAACCGGTCCTTCAAAGCGAAAGTCCGAGCAGAGTGGGAGCGGTGGATGACTGATGGCGAACACACGTTCACCAAGACGGGCAGGTAGAGCCGATCGACTTTTGCCACCATCTGTGAGTGGATCGCTGATGCCTGGGCCAACGTTTCCGTCCAGACTGTTGTTCGAGCTTTCACCAAGGCCGGGATCACAACGGGAGAGCCAAGCAACGACAGTGACATTGACTCTGACGGCGATGAGCCGAGCGTGCTGGGTTCAGTGCTGGATCAGCTCTTCATGTCAGACATGGAGAATGAGGATTTTGAGGGATTTATGGACGAGGAATGAAAAAAAATATGTGAGTACCATACTTTTTTCCGATCTGAACGGGCAACAGCGCTCTGTATGAAACTGGGACTTTGAATATGTTTATATTAAACATAAGCAAACAGTTGTGTTGCCGCTGTCTGAATGCGCATCTTTGCTCCAGCCGTGCCTGCGCGTAAAAATGGGACTTTTGTTTGTTAAACAGCCTTACGTCTGATTGTTCTTTCTTGCTGCTTAAAGCATCCGTGCAAAAAATGACACTGATAATTACGAAATTGTTATTTTTACTGTGAATGAGAGGAATAAACTTTGATTTTGATCTAACTCCTTTGTTTGGCTTATTGTACCAGTTATGCACTACTAGGTGGAGTGTTCAGTCAGTCATGCCATTACCAAATCTTCATTCTTGCTGCTAAAAGCACCCGTGCATTAAATTGGGACTAAATGTTACTTTAATAATGAGAATTTTATTTTTTAGCGTAGATAATGAGTGGAGTAATGTTTGGCTTAGATCTAATTGCCCAAATTGTCTTAAGTGTGTGCTCGTTTGCTTTGCTGGGTGCGCCCTATAATCAGGTAGGCCTTATGTACAGACCAAACCTTTAACTAGGACACTGATTGACTGTGCGCCTTATAATCAGGTGAGCCTTATGGTGTGGAAAATACGCTACTCAGACTAGCCCATCTGGCACAGACAGCAATGCCAGATTAAATGTCAATTAATAACCTTTCTTCCTAATTTTAAATCTCTGTTTAAACTGCTGCGAATCGTCTTGATCATATCAACATGCCTAAATGCATTGAGTTGCCACCATGTGATTGGAAGATTAGAAATTTGCTTTAATGCGTTAAGTGGCCAAGGACTGTACGTCACACTGACATGGCATTCATGGAGTTAGCCATCTTCACTCATGATGTGGAAGGTTGTTGTTTTATTGTTCGGTAATAAACAGCAGACGTCATAGCTAGTAGAAGCTAACCGTTAGCAATAGCAACACCACCACATGGCAGAAGCTCCCTCAGTCATTTGTGGGTATAAAACATCCACGTTGCAAGCCAGTGGTAGAGTTGCTTTGCTGTTATAGAATCCTGGAAGAGATGACAAATAACAGGAAATAAGACCCAGAACCTGCAGTATGAAGCTCATCTGTAAAGTGGGAACTTTTAGGTCTACAAAATGGTGCACTGCTTTGTTCCCCCACCAAGATTAACTTACAAGGCATTAAATCCTACTAGAGACCACTGTAAATGTATCAAATCATCCACTCCTTTAAATCATGGCAATTGCAAAATAAACTTACATTTCCAGTAGTCAATTTTTAATTCTTAGTGGCAATAATAACAGTCTTTCCTTAACCAATACTTGGTCTGCCCATAGTTTTAAGGTTTATGCTCTTAGATTTCAAAGATAAGCTATGTGATCAACATTATTACAGTTTGCTTGATATTTATATATTTTCTCATGTTTCCAGAAGAGTTTACTCACCATCAACTTGTAGTTCTTGTTCCACAATGACTCTCAACCTCTCTTCGATTCCACAATCAAATGTGGAGTTCTTTTCATCTAATGAGGTGGTTTAGGAAAAAGACATTTAGTCTAGTGAACTCATATGTAAACCTCAATTGTATTTTCTCAAAGTCAAGAGGCACTTTCACACCAGATCGGTTTGTTTCATTTTCAACAGATCAGTGTTTTTCCTTTGGGAGTTGCTTCACCTTGAGAAAGCATGGCAAATGTAACCTGGCAAGGAAACCTAAATATGTAAATGTATAGTCTGGAAACAACCCATTTAGGCCTTTTCAAATGACACTAGATAGTAACTTAGATTAGTGCAGACCGGGCTGGTAACCTTTTCCAAAAACAGTTTTGGATTATCTCTCCACCTTTTCTCATTTTTGTAGTCCCTGCTCTGATGGTTACACGGGTTGAGTCGCAATTATTGGCAAAAGATTTGCAAGGGTCTGCCTGCTGCCTGCAACCATTTCTTGGTTTTAGAGTCTGACAAAAGGTCATTAAAACTGAGCAGAATGTTCTACATCACCACAATTGTTGTGCCGAGTTGTGTTTATGTGCATCATACAGGTCACCTCACACTGTTTACTGATCCCCTCATGCTAACTAATTTCTGTATAAATTTTAGGGTTGGGCATCGAGCATCGATTGGAACCGGTTCCAACTGTGCATTTCCCCCGCAATCGTTCTAAGTTAATTATTTCAATTCCTAGTTTCGATCACTAGAATGCCGACAGAAGAGGAATCTGCGGCCGATCTCCATGAAAACTAAAAATGATCTGCAAATTGTGATCAATGCTTTTCAGAGCTGATCACACCAGCTGTCTGTGTGCAGCACAAGTCCCCCCTCCCCCCACATGGCGCGCAGTGGCCAGATATAAACAAAAGTGTCTGCCGAACTTTAACTCCATAAGGTAAACTTTAACTCCTGCAGCGTAGAGGAAACTTGTTAAAATGCGTCAACATGGTGGATTTAATGGTTGCTTTAAAGAAAAACTCTGGACGGTGTGAGGTGAGTTTGTCTCACTGCAGAAATAAAAAACACACACGGAGCGTCAGCAGTCAGACGCAGCTGCTCACCAACACTGTGTGTGAGCGTGAGCATCAGAAGGCTGAACAATAACCTGTAGGTGTACCACACCAGCTTCTGCCACAGTAACTATTTACAATAATAATAATACATTAAACACACAAAGTTGTGAACATTTTAATTTCCTTTCTGAACTATTTCTGTTGAGAGTTGTAATGGCCACAAATGGTCACTTTTCAGGTATAGATCAGGGATTCCCAAAGTGTGGTGCGCGCACCCCCGGGGGTGCGCGAGCTGCCGCTAGGGGGTGCGCGAGGTGAAAAGTGGAATGGCTGCGGAGCTCAGAGAAGTCTGTCATATGTCACCATTAGCCTAGCCAGAAACTCATTTGTGGGTGGGCCAAAGAAAAAGTAAGTGGGCCCAATAAATTTAATTGAAAACAAGTATATTTTTGCGCGCGTGTCCTCCACATGTGCCCTAGCTTCATAATAACAATGCGCCGAGCTTCAGCACTCTGGCCTGCGCACGCCGATATGTTCCGTCGCGCGCGTGTCCTCCACATGTGCCCTAGCTTCATAATAACAATGCGCCGAGCTTCAGCACTCTGGCCTGCGCACGCCGATATGTTCCGCCGCGCGTGTCCTCCACATGTGCCTTAGCTTCATAATAACAATGCGCCGAGCTTCAGCACTCTGGCCTGCTCACGCCGATATGTTCCGTCGCGCACGCGTGTCCTCCACATGTGCCTTGCTTCATAATAAAAATGCGCCGAGCTTCAGCACTCTGGCCTGCTCACGCCGATATGTTCCGTCGCGCGCGTGTCCTCCACATGTGCCTAGCTTCATAATAACAATGCGCCGAGCTTCAGCACTCTGGCCTGTGCACGCCGATGTGTTCCATATTTGATCATTTTTAACAGTGTTGGATGAATCTGAAGGTGGTGAGTCATTCTGGCAGATTGTAATTAACACCCTGTCTCATGCAGGTGTTCTGACATTATAAACCTCTCACACAGAACATTGTGGATGTAACAAAATAAATCAACAAATGATTCCCATTCAGGCTATTAACAGCACGCTGAAGATCTGAAGTTCAGAGTGCGTCTGTCAGAGGTCAGACGCGTTCCAGCGGAACCACAGCTCACGGGTGCACATGTGAGCACATCTGGGCTGGGCATAAGTAGTTTTACAACATTGGTTTAAATAGCGCCATTAACGAGACGCGGTGACTTGAGCGGCTCATGGAGCTGTGCCGAGCGTGCACACACACACACACACACACACACAGATTCAATAAGTGCGCACGCTGCGTAAACTCCAGCGCGCCGTCAGACTGCAGACAGAAATGAGCGCTGCCTCCTCCGTAGAAACTTTTAAGAGGTTTTATAACAACATTTCAGGTCAAATTAAGATATTAGTTTCTATTTTGGGATGACGTATTAAAGTCGGGTCCGCTCCAGCCAGTGGGGCCAGTCATGAACCTGACCACAAGTCCTGTTACTGCAGCATTCCTGTCCGCGTGGCAGTGGATCGCAGATTCAGCCACACCATAAAACAGCAAAAAGTCGGTCTGAGGCAAAAGTGAACCTCATGGCGTTTCCATCTTTTCCCATAAAGACATTTGATTACGCACAAGTAGTTGATCAGCTCAGGTTTACGCAGAAGGAAGGAGAGCGCTCTGGCCGCACAGGTTAAACGTTCCTACTTTAAGAAAACCGTTAAATTGCATTGTTTATGTGCTACCTGGGCCTCTAAATATTTATTTAAAATTAAATCAAAGGAAAATGTAATGGTATCGAATGTTTATTAATTACTATTTAAAAAATGAAAGTGATGGGGAAAAAGGTCGATCATATTTTTTTTAACCCTGACTGTTTAGCTTGACATCGGATGGACATATATATATATAGCCATGCCCTGATGTGGGGGCTGGGGGGAAGGGGGGGGGGGCGTCGACATGGTCGGGACATAGAAGGGGGTGCGCGGCTAAATAAGTTTGGGAACCACTGGTATAGATTGACCTATATGCCATTGGTCAGCGGCAGTCAGGAAGTCTGCCTCTGTGTCCTGTTAATCATTCAAGTTGCAGAAGATTCGACATTGCCTGCTTGTTGATACCCAATAAAGTTAACAATATTATTAAATTGTGTTCAGACAAAATTTCAGTAAAAATGCTATTCTTATGTATATTTACAGAGTAAAGGTAAGTTATAGGACAATAAAATGGCAAAAATTGCCAATAGTTGTTGATGAACTTTTTAAAACCATTATTGGAAACTATTTAAGAACCAGCTTGATTAAGCACTAGAACCACATTAGTTGAAAATACACAAATGGTAATGATTACCTGAAAATTGTTGATCTTTGTATTCATCCATCATTTGTGATATTTTGATTTTACCTAAAAATGTAGAAGAGAAAAATTGTTTTAAAAAAATAAAACCATCAACTTGAACATCACAAAACAATGTGAACTAACTTCAGCCTTGTGCCCAACTTTCAATCATTAAGTTTCATTTTAGCCACCATTTTGTAAACTGCACTAACTACACAGTACTATTAAATAAACAAAAAATCTGTAGTTTCTTTGCTTCTGACATGTAGGCATAAATAATCCATAACGTTTTACAGCTTTTATAAGTGTTTAGAGGACAAAAGTCACACAAACTTGCCTTGCAGTGAGCTTTCCATATATCATTTTACAGCTTCAAGCCTGACCTAGACAAAATTCACATGAAGTGCAGAAGTCTGCTGTCTGGGTTACTTAAATGTACAAAAGCACAAAACATTACACATCTTACCTTTTCTTTTGTACATCTACCCTCCTGTCTCTTCTGGTGAGCTTTCCTCCTCCATGAAAATGGCTCCCAGTCTGTGCTGCAGGGCACAGCTGAACTCAGGGAGGAATAGGTAGCATGACTCTGATTGGATGACTAGTTTATGGGCCCACCGCCTCTACAGCTGCCAGGTGGGGGATGGGCAGTTAGGCAAAAGTCAGCCTTCACTGAAAACTCAGAGAAACGTGCCACAATGGAGCAGCAGGGCTGATGACTGAGGATGAGTGAAGGTCAAAGCCACCCAAACTAATCATAATAAATATTAATTCAATATTAATTTATAAAACTGTCTCTCTTTGTATATTTTTTAATTTGTATATATTTTATGTAAATTTAACTTTTAGATCAGGATGGTCAAAAGTACACAACATTAGTGGCCTTCAAGTGATTTTGAGCAGTCCACATTTGCATTTGTAGAATGATTTGGTCTGTCCAGAAGGCTGCTGCTGTAGATTGATACTTTCATGCATTTATATTGTAAATTTTGTTCATCAGTGTTAAAAAAATTCAGCAGTCACAGTTAAACGAAAAATCAACATTAATCAAATCTTCATAAAAAAGGCCACATTTATGTAAAATTACAAATGTTTGAGGGCATGTTGTGGGTCACATGAGCAACGCAGGGGTTCAAAAATCAGCTCAATTCATGGTCATAACCCTGCTTTCTAGGCAGCCATGTTTGCTTTCTGATATGTGACTTATAAGTGAAAAGGCCTCCCAGAATATACTGCAGAAACTTCCCAATAATTAACATTGCCTTTTCAACTAATTTTGAGGTCACACTGTGGGTCACATGAGCAATGCTGACCCCCGCCAGCTTCAAAAGTGCAGGCAAATAGGCTGCTCGGTTAGTGCTTCGTTTGTGCTGATTTGTGCAGGTAAAATTGACGTTTGTGCTGCTATGGTTTCTGAGATAATAAACTGTATTTTATGGGTCATTCAGAGTTCATCGTCCCCCCGGATTGCTCCAAACTGCTCCAAAATGGACCATATTAGTCTACCTTTTTAGTGCTTTGTTTGTACTGATTTGTGCAGGTAAAATTGACGTTTGTGCTGGAACGGTTTCTGAGATATTACGAGTTTTATTTTTACATGATGACATCATCAAATCAAGTCACTTTTGTGCTCTTTGTCAGTCTAAAGCAGCGTTTTTCAACCCTGGTCCTCAAGGCACACTGCCCTGCATGTTTTTGTATTCTCCCTGCCTCAACACACCTCATTCAGCTGACTGCAGTTCAGCAAAAGCTTGTAAATCAACCATCAATTCAAATCAGCTGTGCTGAAGCACGGAAAACCTGAAAACTCCCTGGACAGTGTGCTTTGAGGACCAGGGTTGAAAAACACTGGTCTAAAGTATATTTGCTTTTCAAACTCAGTCAGCTTCACCTCTATAAACATGAAGGTTATATTTTTCTTTCAATAAATTTGCCATATTTATTGTGTTGATCTCATTACCAAAGTCATGTTTCACTCAACTTTACAATTTTAGAGTATTCCTAAGCCACAACAAAATTAAATGTATAGCTGCAAAAAAAAAAAAAAGATTAGATTTGTGAATCTGTACTAAATATAATGTATGTAATTTATGTCCACTAAAATTATTGTCATTTTTTGATTTTGGAAACGTGTAATATCTCAGAAACAGATGCAACACAAATGGTAATTTTACCTGCATAAATCAGTACAAACAAAGCACTAAAAAAATTGACAAATACGGTCCATTTTGGAGCAGTCCGGGGGGACGGTGAACTCTGAATGACCTATCAAATAAAGTTTAATATCTCAGAAACTGTTGTAGCACAAACGTCAATTTTACCTGGGTCACATGAGCAATGAAGGGGTTCAAAAATCAGCTCACTTCATGGTCATAACCCTGCCTTCTAGGCGGCCATGCTTGCTTTCTGATATGTGACTTAAGGGGGAAAGGCCTCTTGAACTGCAAATAAAAATATTGCATTTCATTTACATTGCTGTGTTGCCTAATTTTGAAGTCATACTGGGGGTCTCATGAGTGATCTAGAGTTATAAAAATAGGGTCACTCAATTGACATAACATTTCCTTCGAAGAAGTGGTGTTTGTTTTACACACAGTACATTTACATACATTACTCCTACACACAAAGGCGTCCTAAAGTGCACTTAAAAAACCTGATATTCATTTACATAGCCTTTTTCATTAACTTTTTGGTCAGGCTGTGTTTCATAGAAGGGATGTAGAGGGCTGGAATTAGTCAGTTCATCTTCACAAATAGGGAGCCTGAAGCCCCCTTCAGACAGGCCATGAAAAACGGAAATGTTCCGGACTCTGTCCGTAAGACCTTTGTGTCTGAATACAAACATCCGGATAATGTGTTCTGGAATTTATCCGGACGAAGCCCCTAGTAACAGGTCCGGACTTGTTACGGACAGGGTGGCTGATTCAGACTGGTGAGGTAAAGTTCCGGACAAGGGGGAGGAGGAGGGGACCGGGGGACGCTGTGCGCACCTAGATAGCCCGCTGCTGTAGAATGCGGCGAACTATGGCAGCTCGCCTTCTACGGTACCGCCTAGACGCGCGGACGGTGCGCTTCACACCGCTTCAGTGATTCCTTTAACCATTGAGCTTCATCATCCAGGTCTCTTATGCGTCTTCGTGTGCGCAGAATTATGCTTAAGCGCCTCGTGATTTTTATCTTGAGAGGCGCTATAGAAATGATATTTTCTTCTTCTTCTTCTTAACATGAGTCCGATTCTCTCTCCCCCCACCACCCCCCCGCCGCCGTCAGACATCTGTAACTTTTCCCTGCTGTGTGAACGCAGCCGAAAGGACAAGTTCCGGTACAAAAGTGGTGTGTCTGAAAACACAGTTCCGGTTAAAAACCGGATTGAATTGTCCACAAATGTTTCAGAATGTCTATCTGAAAAGGGCTTTGGTCTCCTCACTTTCCGGTCGGCTCATGGTTCCAAGGAAGAAGGAAAAAAATGAATGCAAGTCATTGGGGCTAAAAGCGCTGTTTTCTAATTCCGCATGCTGTGTGCCATGGATTTCACATATGCTGTCCGTGAGTTTTAAAGACACATTTTGAAACCAAGAATGCACTTTTTTTTAACAGGGAGAAACGTTATTTTAGGATTTGTGTGAAAATAAGCCCAGAACTACAGATGCGTGTCACGAAAATGACATCATCGTTAATGACACAGAGAAAAACGGAGGGAAATGGCTGTAGGTTCAGCAAACTTCAAATCCTTCCTTCAGGCGGAGAAAAGCACAATAAATCGGGCCATTTGGTAAGTACCAGCTACGCTACAGGAGAAAAGATTATGTGTTGACGTCATATATGCGACATGCCGATGTCGGATTTGTAGTCATGCTAATTATGAACTTTTACAAACTGATAAATCTCGAAGTATGTGGCAAGTATGGTCAAAACACCTATCATTAGTTTTAATTAAAATTGCAGTACTACCTATGTGTGATCCAGGGCCTAAGGCAAAGCTGATTAGAAAATAGAGTTTTTAGCCCCATAAACTTGCATACATTTTTTCGTTCTTCCGGGGACCCATGAGCCAGAAGTAGATGGGCGTGACTTAGCCTCCCCGTACATCTTATGTATAGATGATACTGTTTGCATTCTGATACGTCACTGGTAAGCAAAAGTGCCCCCCAAAATACTGGATAAATCTTTTTCGTAGCATTTTTCACTAATTTTGAGGTCATACTGTTCCGTACAGGAGGGCTGTTTGCATTCAAATACTTAATTCTAACAAGAAAAGGACCCCAAAATGTACTGCTCCTCCTTTTACCTTTTCTTTTCCACAATTTTAGAGGTCATGCTGTGGGTAATAGGAGTGGAGCCGTGCATAAGCAGTGTTCTACAGGTCAGAACATTTGTTTGCGTAACAGTTTTTTTTTTTTTTTGCTGAGCTTAAGTAGGGTTATATTAAGGACTGGATGCATAGTTTTAAAAAAAGATTTCCCAGATCATCTTTTTATCACATAATACCAAGAGTTTGCTGTTGAAAGATATATAAAACACAGCCTGTTTCAGTGTCATTTAGACTTGCATATTCTGTCCATTTATTGTTTCTCCCTCCGCCACAGTCTCATCTGATAGGGTATATGAATTAAAGACTAATAATATAAACAAGCAGCTGGTCCACTTCAACGTGTCCATGATGTGTGGCTTCTCCTCTTGACTTTGTTGCATTGGGTCTGAAAGTCTTCTTGCTATATCCAGCCAACATTAAGCTGATCCGTGGATCTGAACATTTTTTTTCTCGGACTTAGCAGAGGAAGCAAAATATCTGGGCTCCCTGAATCCTGTTGTAATCATTAATTCTGTGGATCACTAAAGATAGCCACTTCTGGTTATAAGGTTGATGGGCTGTTTTCATTTTTTTTTTACCTAACACCATAATGAGCTATTGTGTGATCAATGGAGGAGGAACTTGTTATTTTTGGTGGTGTTTAGGTAGAATTTTCCCTGATGTTTTCACCTTCACCTTCTGTTTTAATAGTGAAAATTGCTTATCATTAAAGTTTTATTATCACTAGGTCACTTTTATTTATTCATATTCTGCTGCCTAACTGAACCTTCTGTAATTGTTCTTTGGATTTATTTTTGTCTTCTTTAATAGCAGTTAGCATAAAGTTAGTCAAGGTTGGACTATGGTATGCTCTCAGTATAACACCATCTGCAATAATGGCTTTGCTGGTGATGTTTTTTATTTGATTTAGTTTTTCTTTTTTTTGTTTGTTCGCTTTTTTTTTCTTTAGGCGTAAACCTTTTTTGGACTTTTTCCTGTTTGATCTCTATATTTTTTTCTTAGGGCTTGGCACTTCTGTTATGGGTAAACGTCTAAATATAATTCCTCTCAATATCAGAAGTCTTCTTCTGAAGATTGATTGAAAAAGAAAAGATTGGTTTAGTTAGAATGAACCAAAAATAATTACCCTTTCGGAGACCTGGTTAAATGATTCTGTCTCTAATAATGCAGTTAATTTGGATTATTTTAACTTATTTCATGCTGAGAGACATGGGAGGGAGGGTGGGATTGCTACTTATGTTTGTTCCAGTCACAAGTGGTTGTAGTCCCATCAGTGAAACCTTCACAGGTCATCTTCATTGAGGTTATATTT